CAATAGACTACTAGGCCAAAACTGACGAATAAAGTAATAAAGGTTGCATTAATAATCTTCTCAAACTGACTTGTCTGATAAAACTGCTCCATCGCATCCATCACATCAACATTCACAACATCCCAACAATGCTAAAAGAATGCCAAAGAAAAACCATCTAGACTCGGCACCTTGTCGCCATTCATCCCCTTTAAAGCCAACCCCCCAACTCTTCTTCAGAAAACAGCCATTCCAAAACCGCACCATCCACCTCAAAGATCACTCAAATTCCGACCCATCTAACCCCGGCCACCACCCTTCCCCCACCCTCCTAAAAAGCTTCTAGTAAAAACCAGCAATCCCCGCCTTTACCTCCTCTTCAGAGGACAACTCCGCCCTATCTGATTCACCCGCCAATGAGCATTAACCATGCAATGGAAAAAACACATTCAACATGGTAGGATTGCAACTTTGAATCCTTAACTATTTGCCTTGATCTTGGATGAATTAAATAAACACATTCAAGATCATGCCTTATAGGTGTGGGTACTAGTACCAAGCCCAACACAGGTGAGCCCTTCGGGGGCCACACCATTGCCATCACTCCCCCACGTGGTAGACCTCCAAGGCACCATAATCAATTGGGATAATATGCCTAGCCTAAGCAGGGGAATTCACACCACCAAGGATGGATTGGCTCGCATTATCACATATGCTCACTTGGCTCACCTATTTGCCAGCTTGGGCCCTTGGGTTGCCTATGCTCACTTGGCAACATAAGGCTAAGCCTTTGACCTATGAAGCACAGACACTTCAAATAGGGTGACATATCCATATCGTATCCATATCGGATATCAATACTCGTTGGATACTCGCAGATACGTAAATTGGATACTTATTAGAAGTATCAGATACTTCTTAATTAATTTTTTATTAATTTTGGAATATCAGATACTTAATTTTGAAGTATCAGATACTCTAAGTCATGTATTACTTGTTTTACGAAATTAGAGTTGTAACATTTCTTGTATAATATTATAATATAATATAGGTTCAAGGACAAATATAATAATATTTTTCTAATACTTTGTTTAGTTCTCTGATGAGAAGAACATAGTGAATTAAATAATAGAATTTGTCAAATTGATATATCCTAATTGTTTCATGCATGTCTCCAATAACTACATAGAAAGTAAGGATTAATAAAAAAATATAACAATAGTAAAATTAAATATCAATAAACAAATAAGCAAGTAGACTTGATTACAATATTTTTTACTAGTGTCGAACGGAAAAGTACATAGACAAGTTGTGGATTTTTCTATTATTGTAATATAAACATGAACGAAATATTTGCATGACCTATTGAAAATTTAAAAGATAAACAAGCTACTAGTTTAAATTAATACATAATTCTTAAATGTTAGTATTTTGCATTATAAATTACTTTGTGATTTCTCAACATTTTTAGCTTATATGTAACTCATTACTAATAATTTTAAAAAATATATTTTTCACAAACATATCATAGCTGTACCTGTATCCTATTTTTTTAAGTTTTGTCGTATCATCTCCATGCTTCCTAGCCCTTGACTCACCCTTATGCTCGTCCATTTTGCTCAACCCCTTGGATGCTTAGGCTGGGAGCAGGGCCTAGGCACCCCGCGCTCAAGATCATTGGAGGATTGTGAATTGGAGGCTAAGACCATGAGATCACCAAGGTTTTTCTTGGTTGTTTTCCTGCCAAGAGAGCTCCACCTTGACCAGGTTTAGAGAAAGGCAATGTTGACCTTACACTCATGCCTTTTGTCACGGCCTTGGAATTTCTAAACCAACCCTCAGTCTTTCCAAGCCAACCGTGCGGCCTTAGATGCTTGTAGCACGCCTTGCTCGCACCTAAGTAAGCCTTTAGTGGAAGGGAGCCAAGGGATTGCACACACACAAGAGAGACTTAGAGAGAACACTTGGAGAATGTTAGCTTTGTATTGCACTTGGAGAAAGCTTACAACTCTTGGGATGGTTTGGCCAAATGAGGGCCTCCCCATCGACCTTGTCCTCTACGTACATCGAACCCTTATCCCCTTGGGTTGATGCAGTAGGCTTTACTTCAAGCAGCTGCAGAGATCCCGTGCAAGACTGCTCTTCCCTTTCTTGCTCCTCCAGCTTTGCAATGAGACTCCTCCTCTTAGGACAATCCCTTGCCCAATGTAGCTCATCGCAAAGGAAGCAGTTATGTCTGGGCTTCATATCCTTAGCCCACTTTGCCCATTTGCCCAAATTAGCAGCAATCTCCCTTCCGCGGTGCTCCTCCATGTGAGTTACTCCCGACATAGTGCCCTTCCTTCCTCAAGTCACGACGCCTTCGCAACCCGCTCTGATACCAACTGTCACGGCCTTGGATTTGCTGAACCAACCCTCAGTCTTTCCAAGCCAACCGTGCGGCCTTAGATGCTTGTAGCACGCGTTGCTTGCACCTAAGTAAGCCTTTAGTGGAAGGGAGCTAAGGGAATGCACACACAAGAGAGACTTAGAGAGAACACTTGGAGAATGCTTATGTTGTATTACACTTGAGAGCTTTACAATGCTTGGGTTGTTTGGCCAAATGAGGGCCTCCCCTTTATATAGCCTTACAAGGATTATTCTAGAACCATACTAATGGAGAGTGTTTTAGACACTTCCCCTAGCTAGAGTATTCTAGGACTATTCTAGTATGTACATGTCTAGAAGAGTCTACAACTATCTCTAACTATGTACAAGTTTCCACAATGCTCCAGGGAGTTCCAGAAGCTTCCAGGATGCTCTACAAACTCCCAGGGCTCTCTTGTTCCACTATCCTCTTGACTGCTCTAGAGAATTCTAGATTCTTCCATTAGGACCTCCCTTCTTCTAGCCATTCTCTAGAGAGTTCTAGCAATCTCCTTTGGTTTCCAACGCTTTCTGGTGAGGGCAACATTAGGATTTCTCTGTCCGTGACACTTTGCATGCATGATTTGTAGCCCAAAGATATCATACTCACCAGCCTAAATCACAAACAACAGTAGGCTAATATTTAACTTCTTGTTGAGTTGAGAAGAGCTCGCCACCTAACCAACAGGTTGCTTGGGTCCAATTAGGGTAGTGCAAATGCTGCCCAACCCAACACCGATCCGCTCACTAACCGCAGGTTGGTTTGATCCGCAATTTGAAATTTTATAATCCGTTTTCAACACCCAACCTCACCACAGTTAATACATTTTTTTTTTTTTACTTTCAATGAAATATCAAAGTAAAAATCAATGTGAGGGATCTGAGATGTGGAATTTAGTACAAATTAGTATTATATATATGAAAAATATTATATAAAATCAATTAGTATTACATATGAAAAATGTTATACAAATTAGTGTTATATATTATACAAAAACTTGACAATTGTTTAAGATTATTTTTCAATCAACTAATAGGTTAACTGCCCAAACCACGGTTTGGTTACGGATATCAAATTTACCAATCCACCAACCATCGTTTGGTTTCAATTTTATCCTCAAACCGCACTGAACCGCACCATGCACACCCTTGGCTCCAATATTAAGAGAGTCTATATAACATATCATATATGCAGCAGCCAACATCATCACACAACAATACATTTATCACAACACAAATCCTAAGTGCTCAAGCTCTCTCACTGCCACCCTCTCTATCTCTAAGCCTGCCTTAATCTTCACCTCCGATGACCTCGAGCCATTTAAGTGCCTGTCATCTTCCTAGAGGTCTACAACTGACCAACTCTAACTTCTCATACCCACATAGGGCATAGGGTATGTTGCTTGTGTTACACGGAATTGGGTAGAACTCAACCCCAAAAGCTAGCTATTGAGGTGAGGGTGTCCTCATGCTTATATGCTTAACATTACTTTAGTACTCAGGCAAAGTGGGACTTCACTTCATAGTTCACAGATGATATTATTCTAGTGGGTGAAATTAGGGAAGGAATTATAGTAGATAAAACTAACGAAAAAATTAATACAAAATTAGAAATTTGGAGAGAATAATATCGTAGGGACAAAATGCAATCATAAGCTTAGGACCCATTTGGTTATCCTTAAATTTGAATTTTGACGTGTTCATTCGCAAGCTAGATAATTAGTTGTGTATTTATTAGGAATTCATTTTAAATACATATATATATATATATATACACTACCAAACTTCATCATTTTTTTTTCCTATCAAATTTGTTCAACAATTTAGATCGAAAGCTTGATTTGATTTAACTCACTAATCAAACTTTTCATCAAATTTTTTAAAAATATAAATAAAAAATGTAACCTATGCCAAAAATCCCTTTCTAACCAATTCAGGTCAAAAATATTGATCTCCAATGCTTTATCTTTTAACAATTTCATCAAATTTAAGTGACAAAAAAAAAAAAAAAAATTAGTTGTTGCAAATCTGATAAAAGATTTGATTCATTTCTCATTTGATGAAACCTTTGCTAAAAACTTGATTTGATACAACTTCGATGAATGAATCGAAAGTTGTGTATTTATTAGGAATTCATTTTAAATACATATATATATATATACACTACCAAACTTCATCATTTTTTTTCCTATCAAATTTGTTCAACAATTTAGATCGAAAGCTTGATTTGATTTAACTCACTCATCAAACTTTTCATCAAATTTAAAAAAAATAATGTAACCTATGCCAAAAATCCCTTTCTAACCAATTCAGGTCAAAAATATTGATCTCCAATGCTTTATCTTTTAACAATTTCATCAAATTTAAGTGACCAAAAAAAAAAAAATTAGTTGTTGCAAATCTGATAAAAGATTTGATTCATTTCTCATTTGATGAAACCTTTGCTAAAAACTTGATTTGATACAACTTCGATGAATGAATCGAATCACATTTTCACCAAAATTTTCAGCAAATTTAAATTTAATTAAGAAGATAGATAGTATCCTACATAATCCAACAAAATGCAAAACCAAACAAACAAACAAGCAATTAGTTCAAAAAACCATTCACCATACCTCTTCTCCTTCCAACGGCGGAACCCATTTACCCTTGACCCATTCTCTATGAAGCCGAAGCTCCTCGCTCCCAAAATCAAGCTGCTCTCTCGTTCCCCTGAAGAAAACAGAGTACCTCTCATTCTCAAGCACTTCAGTAATCACTCCCTCCCACCACCCATCATTATGATACGCATCCACCTCCTCGCTGAACTTGAAGCTCCGGCGGCTCTCTCGCGGCGGAGGCGGCCTCAGCTGCACCACATCCAGCGCTTCCCTCAGCGGCTTCTTTCCCCCCTCGTCCGCCATTAGGGTTTTGTACTCGACCAATAGCTTCTTGTTGTTGGTGGTGGTGTTGGTGGTCTTGGTTTTGGTTGATGCGGGTCGAATTACTGTTCCGGCGTACCAGGCGCCGCGGAAACCGTCGTCGTTGCTGCTGATCTCGACCTCCGATCCTTTGTGGAAGTGCTGGGTCAGGTCCGCCATTGTTGATTCTGCAACAAATTGGAGGTTTTTAGGTTATTGATTGAGCTACAAAACAATGGCGGGAGATACATACATGATGATGATATGTTGTAGTATGTGTTTGTTTACAGGAATCCACGGCAGATCCATAGGGTTTAGAGAGACATCTTCACAGACTTTTGAGTTCAGCCGAAAAGTGAAAAGTGTTTTTTTCACAACCCTTCCGTCTCATAATAATCTCTTATGGACGATTCAATTTTTTTTTATAATATAATTTTTATATTTTACAAATATTAAAATATAAAAACGGAAAATGTTTGAGAGCCCTAATTTCTGTGGCTCAAATGGTTTAAATTTGTCAAAACGACGTCGTTTTGGTAATTTTGATGTTGTTTTGTACTCAAAACGACGTCGTTTTGACAAATTCGAGCCATTTGAGCCACAGAAATTAGAACCCTCTATCATTGTTGTATAAAAACCTATCCTATCATATGATTGTGAGTTAAATTAAGATTTTTTTAAAAAAAAAAATTCAAACATTTTTCTAATGATAATAATAATAATAATAACGATAATACTTTTAAAGTTTATGTTTACATAGTTTTTTTTACTTATAAAAATTTTAGGGCAAATTATACAAATAATCTCCATAGTTTGAAACTCGTGTCACTCTAATCTCTGATTTTTCCATTATTTCAAATAAGGACAATTGAAGATATCATTGTCTAATTTCAAGGATAAAATCGTTAATTTAATAAAATATAAACTAATTTGACAAAATTTAAATATCAAAAAAATATTTTTAATTTTTTTAAAATTATTTTTATCCACCAATGATAAAATTATATAAAATTGATAAAAATTAATGAAAATTACATAATTAATTTTTTAAAATTAATTTTACATGATCATCATCCAAACACATAATAAAAAATAATTTGGTAAAATAAATAAATAAATATCTAAAAAATTTATTAATTTTACATAATTTTATTTTTAATAGATAGAAATAATTTTTAAAAATTCAAAAATATTTATTTGACATTTATTTTTGTCAAATTAGTTTATATTTTATCAAGTTGACGATTTTACTCTTGAAAAATCTAATGATATCTTTAATTGTCCTTATTTGGAACAAGATTTAAAATTTATGGTCAAATATGTCACAATTGAAAAGTAACACAAGTCCCAAACTATAGAAATTATTAGTGTAATTCACCCAAAGTTTTATAAACTAAAACTTGTTTAGAATTTCATTTTTAAAACTTATTGGTTCAAATACAAAAAAAAAAATTAATTTCACTTCTTTAAAATAAAAGCCAAAATTTTTTCAATTCTTTTCCAATCCTATTGACCACCACCCCCATTCATTATCATTACCAGTAGGGGTGTGCATAATACCGCCGAAACCGCCGAAACCGCCAAAACCGCACCGAGCCGCACCGCCAAGGCAAATTCGTTATTATTTTCCAATCGAACCGCCGGTTTTTGGTAAGAAAAATGGCAAATTCTAGTGACACTTTTATCAATCCGCCGGTTTCTATTTTTCTTCCAAACCGCACCGACCCGCACCGCTATTAAATCATGTTTTATAAGATTCTAAAAATTCTTTTTTACTTAAATTTGCTTGTTGTTCTATACCTTAGAATATAGTATTACATTACTGCTCAAGGGGAATTTTATGTATTGTATTTGATCATTGTAGCTTCCACAGATGCTTGTAATGAACTGATGGCATAGTCGTTGATATTATCATGTTGTTGCTACACTTGCTACATCAGAAGAAAGCTTCGCAAGATGCTTAACATTACGGTATCTCTCGCCTTTTTTTTACTCTTTGATTTAAGTTTTGTAATTTGAATTATATTTTTTATAAACCGCCAATCCGCCCGAACCGCCAAGGCAAATCCGTCATTATTTGCCAACCAAACCGCCGGTTTTTGATAAGGAAAATGGCAAATTCTAATGACACTTTTATCAATCCGCCCCCCGCCATACGGTTTCTATTTTTCTCTCAAACCGCACCGACCCGCACCGCACACACCCCTAGGCTGTACCTAAAAATGATGTCCCATATAGGGTGAGCAACACCCAGTAAAGATATGCTAAACATAATATGAGCAATAACTAAAACATTAGCATTTGATAAATGTTTGACTCATATGAACCAACTTACAACACATTCCAGTTCCATGACAAATAT